TTTGTCACACCCTGGCTCTGGGACTCTATATGTTGAGCCAGGGTGTGTTTATTCTATGTATTGTATTTCTGTGTTGGCCAGAGTGGTTCCCAATCAGAGGCAACGAGTGTCAGCTGTTGCTGGTTGTCTCTGATTGGGAGCCATATTTATAGAGGCTGTTTTCCCACAATAGTTGTGGGATCTTGTTCCGTTTGGTTTGTTCCGTGTTGGTTGTTAACCTAGGACGTCACGTCATCGTTTGTTGTTTTGTTTGTTCGTGTATTCATCAAATAAAGAAGTATGTTCGCTCATCACGCTGCGCCTTGGTCTACTCCGTCTAACGATCGTGACAGAAGATCCCACCATACCAGGACCAAGCAGCGTGTCCAGGAGCAGGCGGCCTGGACATGGGAGGAAGCGCCGGGAAAGGAGCTGGAGAGGTTGGCGATGGCCCAGGTGGGCAAATCGTGGTCCTGGGAGGACATGCTCGGGGGCAAAGGGCCATGGGCTAAGATTAAGGCCCTGGCGAGAGAGGAGCAACGGCGTCAACAGTGTCGTCGTCGGACGGACGAGAGGCAACCCCAGAAAATTTTTAGGGGGGGCACACGGCATGGGCGACTGGGCAGCAGGAGGCTGCCACAGGGCGAAATGGGAGACGAGGAGAGAAGGCCACCGGGTTACGGGAGCCATTGGTGAGAGGAGGGAAGGAAGTTGTAGAGGCACGGCGAGAGGTACTGAGGTGTATTGCCAGTCCGGTCCGGCCCGTTCCTGATCCCCGTTTAAGGCCAGTGGTGTGTGTTCCCAGTACGGCCCGGCCTGTTCCTGCTCCTCGCACCAAGCCTACGGTGCGGGTCGCCAGCCCGACCCGGCCTGTTCCTGCCCCTCGCACCAAGCCTACGGTGCGAGTCGTCAGCCCGGCCCGGCCTGTTCCTGCCACTCGCACCAAGCCTACGGTGCGCGTCGCCAGCCCGGCCCGGCCTGTTCCTGCCCCTCGCACCAAGCCTACGGTGCGCGTCGCCAGCCCGGTCCGGCCGGTTCCTGCTCCTCGCACCAAGCCTACGGTGTGCGTCGCCAGCCCGGCCCGGCCTGTTCCTGCTCCTCGCACCAAGCCTACGGTGTGCGTCGCCAGCCCGGCCCGGCCTGTTCCTGCTCCACGCACCAAGCCTACGGTGCGCGTCGCCAGCCCGGCCCGGCCTGTTCCTGCTCCTCGCACCAAGCCTACGGTGCGCGTCGCCAGCCCGGCCCGGCCTGTTCCTGCCACTCACACCAAGCCAGGGGTGCGAGTCGTCAGCCCGGTCCGGGCCGTTCCTGCTCCACGCACCAAGCCAGGGGTGCGTATCATCAGTCCGGTACGGCCTGTTGCTGCTCCACGCACCAAGCCAGGGGTGCGCATCGTCAGCCCGGTCCGGCCCGTTGCTGCTCCACGCACCAAGCCAGGGGTGCGCATCGTCAGCCCGGTCCGGCCCGTTCCTGCTCCACGCACCCAGCCCTCCCCTGGTTTGTTTATGTTCAGGCGCGGTCGCAGTCCGCGCCTTTAGGGGGGGGTACTGTCACACCCTGGCTCTGGGACTCTATATGTTGAGCCAGGGTGTGTTTATTCTATGTATTGTATTTCTGTGTTGGCCAGAGTGGTTCCCAATCAGAGGCAACGAGTGTCAGCTGTTGCTGGTTGTCTCTGATTGGGAGCCATATTTATAGAGGCTGTTTTCCCACAATAGTTGTGGGATCTTGTTCCGTTTGGTTTGTTCCGTGTTGGTTGTTAACCTAGGACGTCACGTCATCGTTTGTTGTTTTGTTTGTTCGTGTATTCATCAAATAAAGAAGTATGTTCGCTCATCACGCTGCGCCTTGGTCTACTCCGTCTAACGATCGTGACACTCTTGAACTGGGTTAAATCAAGGTTTATCTATTAATCTTGTTGCACCACATTTTAAACCTAGGTTTTAAATTAATCCTAGTTAAATTAAATCCTTCCTCTAATCTAAATTTAGTTTTCACTTTAAACCTAGATTAATTTTAACCCTGTTGCTCAATTAATATAAATTTAGATTGGAGATTAATTCTAAACTGCCACTTGAGGTGGTTTAACTGATAAAATGGCAGCATATCTACTCTGGAGAGACCAAAACGACAGAGTTCCTCAGAGAATAATTAGAGACAGGTTAAATCCTGTTGAATTTTATGATAATGATTTGTTTTCAAGGCGATGCCGCTTCTCCAAGGACTCTGTAATGCAACTGGAAAGAAAGGTTGGACCAACCATTAAGCATGGGAGTGATAGGAACGCAGCTGTACCCCCACTACTTCAGCTCCTGGTGGCCCTACGGTTCACAGTAACTGGATGTTTCCAGATGGTGGATGGGGGCCTTTTTGGACTCTACAAGTCAACCGTCTGCAGGATTGTAGTCCAGTGCTATTGCCAGTCTGAAGAATCAGTATATAAGGTTCAGTCCTACAGAGGAAACAGCAGCTGGATTTTACAGGAGAGCTAGATTCCCAGGTGTACTAGGGGTAATAGACTGTACACACACTCCTATTCCCAACCCTGGTGCCGAGAATGGAGAACTATTCCGTAATCAGAAAGGTTACTGCTCCATCAACGTGCAGGCTGTCTGTGACGACCAAGGTCAGCTCACCAACATCGTAGCTAGATGGCCAGGATCCACCCATGTCAGCAGAATCTTTGACAATAGTTGCCTGTGTGCAATGCTGGAAAGGGGGGCATATGAAGGCCACCTACTAGGTGACAATGGATATGCCTGTTGTGGGTACCTTAGCACTCCCCTTTTAAACCCCCAGACACCTGAAGAGAGAGAATACAACACCTCTCATATCCTGGCAAGATGTCTCATAGAGAGGGGCTCCGCACGAAGATGTACACTACACTGACAATCATTATTGCAGTGGCAGTTCTGTATAACTTTGTCAGGAGACTGAGGAGGACCTACCTGAGGAGAAAGCAGAAGATGGCCAGGTGCAACATGCTGCCAATGCAAATAGGAATGCTGTGAGGAGAACCTTGATTGAGAACCATTTTGCAGCCTAAAGTGTGCATTATGTAACATTGGTACCATGTAAAAAGCAATATTATATTTTGATAGACACGTACAATTCCTAATTAGGCTATCTGTATTAAAATGTATTATTAAGACTTTGTTATTCTCAACACCATACAGGGTGGAACTGGAAGCACCAGAACACAAGAGTGGGGACAAGACTGGAGGATACCAATTTGCTTGGGAAAGGATTGTTTTAATAAATAATTGTTTAAATAAATAAAAAGATCAGCATTCTTTCACATTGGGCATTTGTTTCTCTGAAGGAGTTTCTGTTTCTGAATTTGCAGTAGCTCTTTTTGTAAATTCAGGACCTCAATCTGCAGTTGATGTTTCTCTCTCTCCAGCTCCAAAACATCAATAGGAGCTTGGTTCATGTCAGTTCTGGGGCGTTTGCTTGGCCTGTCTAGTGTTTTTGCTGCTGGTGCAAGGTCCAGGCACTGCTGTTTCTCCATGGCACAGGGTGTCCGCTCAACTAAAGGAAAGGAAATAAAATTAACTCATTATTAGTAGGCTATTTACGTACAACAATTGAATTGGGGTTTATGATATGCCCAGCCTTGGTACGAATGATGATGTTATGCAACAGGCTGTAATGGGCCTGATAACGGTAACATTGTAGTGAAGTAGCATTAACGTTAGTTTTAACGTGCATTATAGTCATTGATATTTACCAGTTATTTATGCTTACTAAATATTGTTGGGTCGAGTTGTCCGTCGTCATCATAGGGGTTAAGGAGAGGGGCAAACTGCTGGGGTATCATCTCGCATATCTTCTGAGAGAGAGGATCAATTCCCTTGAACGGAGGCCCACTTTCCGGTCTGAAATAGCCCCAGCCTCTCCTCTGCCGCATCCTTTTTGACTTTCGCTTTTAAGTTTTTCCAGCACGCCTTCATCCGATTTCATAAACGGAGAAATGTGAACTTCTTTGACGTGCCATGATCAGGTGTCTAGCGGACAAATAATAAATGGCTAAATAACGTTAACTAATGACAATTATACATTCTATTTTATGCTAACTAGCTTGGTTTATAAACTAGCTAGCTACAGTAGCTAACGTTAGCTAACGGATTTTATTTCAAATCAGCCAACCCATGAGAACCTTTCACGATGGAGTTGCAGACAGTTCTAACGTTACATTGTTAATATTTTATCAAGGAACAGCAACTTTGTGGCCTCTGTCAAGTAGGCTAGCTACTTCGTTTCAACTCACGAAGTACTTCATATATTGTGTAACATGTCACTAATCATAGTTTAAAACCGTTAATCATAGATTTACTGATCCAGATTTAAAATTAAGTGGTGCAACACATCTCTGATTTAATGATAAACCTAGATTTACAAAACCTAGATTAGCTCTAATCCTAGATTAATTTAAACCATGTTGGTGCAACCCACCCTAAGGTACTTAATTGTTATCCAGAAATTATTTTATATTGAGATCAAAATGGCTGCATTAGGTCTTTAAGTAATAAATGGAGAATCAGTACGATTTGGGTCATCATTTGACAGGACAATTCCTCTGATATGAATCCTGTACTGTTGAAATACAGGCATCTAACTAAGAAATGTCCCTATTTCTAAATTTGCATTGCATCTTCTTTTCAGGATGATAGGCGTATGCCTAATTTACAGTTCTATCGTGGACAGAGGGCCTCCTCCCCTGATGGTAATCTATACTGTTTATTGAATGCTGTGTAGATTTGACAAGACTACAAGACATGGGCATTTGTAACTGTAACCTTTTCTCTGATAAGGTGTCTACATTGACGACTTTCACAATAACTGGTATGGGAAATATTCAAAATTGGAAGCTGTTCACTCATACATCCAATGGTCAGTTTCCTTAACATTTATATGGGCTTTTAATTATTTTTAAATAATTTGTTATAAATCAATTCTTTAAAATATATATTTTTTAAACAAACATTTTATTTAGGTTGTTCCCTCTTCAAGAACGAGGAATGAATTATCAAGCCAAAGAACTCACCAAGAAGGAAATTGAGGTACTTTGTTGCATAGGCAAAAAATATAGTAGCTTATTTGAGGAAAGTGTTCTCTACATACTGCATTTACATAAGTCATATCTATTGACTGGGGGGCATAGAAATGAATGAAAATATATTTTGTCCATTATTGTCCTGACTGACAATCTGCTTCCTTCTCAGGCTTTTCTTGAAGATGAAACTGTGAAGAAGAGGCTGGTCAAGTCGTACAAGCTCATGCTGGACTTCTACGGCATACAGATGTCAAATGACACAACAGGGGAAGTGCGACGTGCTAATAACTGGCGTGACAGATTTGACAACATGGACAGGTTAACAAGTTCTATATTTGGTCATTTAACTGTTATTATTTTGTATAATCCTTGCAATACTACGATTTCAGTTTTAAAATGAACCTTCTGTGAATAACAGTGCTCAGAATAACAGTACCCTTGCATTTTTGTTGGTCTTGTGTTTTTTCTATGGTAGACATACACACAACAACCTGCGCATCACCCGCATCCTGAAGTGCCTGGGCACTCTGGGGTTCCCCCACTACCAGGCCCCACTGGTCCGCTTCTTCCTGGAGGAAACTCTTGTTAAAGGCCAGCTGTACAATGTGAAGGAGAGCGTGCTCAACTACTTCATCTTCGCTGTCATTGATAAGCAACAACGCAGGGAATTAGTTAAGTATGCCTATGAGGTCAAACATGAGTTGGTGTCGTGCCCTAAGAAGATCAAGAGTACATTTAGGGAGGGGACATTCCCAGATTATAAAAACCCAATTGATCTGAAACTAGATCTGAAACAGAATGGCATATACTCAGATGACAGTGATGACAACACTACCAGTCATCAGTCTGTCTCACTATGTTAACAAGGGTAAGCCAACGGATAGGAGTGGAATGGCAAATGAGGTTAGTGACTTAGCGCGATTGGGGACGCCAAACAACGCGTGGTTGACACGGGTATCCATACCTCATGATAACATGCGTGGTCTGGCGACCAGTTACACACAGAGGAACAAAGGCACCAGTCAGGCCTCCAAGACTACTAGTGGAAGGAATCAAAACACCAGTGCTGATTCATCCTCTGAGTGTCTACCAATTAGGCAAAATGATACTGCTCAGTCCAGTTATGGAGCTTTTGGTAATGGGAGCTCTTTAACTATCCGCCTACTCTAACGCCCCACTACTGATTCTCTGAAAATAATAGCTGCAGCTATTAAACAATCAGAATGTGGACCTAGCGGTGTAGTTTCAGAGACAATTACTGATGATCGGAGAAAGAGAGCTAGACACAAGCAAACAGAGCATAACCTTAACAAACTTAGAAGAGTAAAAGACTAATAAAGATGATGCTGATGATAGAAAAAAGAAGGGACCTGCAGATAAGCAAGAAGAGAGTGAACCAAGCAAAGAGGTTTCAGAGGACAATATTAGCACATCCAGTGAAAGTTAATCGAATAAGAAACCGCTGTGCCCAGCAAAGAAAAAGTTACTCCAGGGAAAGATTCAGTGTTTGAGGTAATGTGAAGATTGATTAGAGTATTCACCCATGTCCTGCACTAATGAAGGGAGAAAAAACAAGAATGACATGAATTATTTTCATTTCATTTCATCAGAACAATTCAAGTTTAAAGTTATGCAATTTCACGTTTGATTTCTGATCACATGTATAATTTATCAGTTGGTTGTTATCCTTATTTTTTTTAAACAATACAAATGTTATATGTTGATTAATCTTTTCAAATCCACAATGATTTTTATGTTAGCGGTTGATTTTGTAATGGCATATTTTTGGTTTGGAGGGTTTCTTATATGGATTTTTGGGTACATGTACAAGAAATTGGTCTATGCTATGATCAGGTCAGTTTTTAATGGTGATGCTTGCCTCCAAGGTATTTGAAATACTTTCTACTGCTTAACATATTTTAAATGCATTTAGTGCCTAAACATATGTACCACCAGGGGTGCCTAATGATTTGCATGCATATAACAAATGAAATGTGAATTTAATCAAATAAAATAAATTCTATGACAATTGTCAACTGTAATTAGCAATACTATAGATACCAGGGTTGGGGTCAATTACATTTAAATTCCAGTCAAATCGGGAAGTACACTGAAATTCCAATTATTTTCAGTGCTTGTGGATTTGGAATTGGAATTTGGTTTACTTCTGAATTAACTGGAATTGAAATGGAATTGAACCCAATCCTGATAGATACAACCAATCAGTGCTTTATTACTGAACATACAAGCACATACTGTGTCCAATGACTTCAGACTATAGCAATCAATGTGTTTACCAAATTCTCACATTATCCATTCCAGAATAATGGGTTATTATTTCTCTACTTTTTTAATTGTGATTAAAAACATACCAGTATATACACAAATACATTCATGTTTACGTAACAAGGAAGGTGAGGGAGTCCAATTTGTAAGTCGCTCTGGATAAGAGCGTTTGCTAAATGACGTAAATGTAAATGTTAATCAGTTACTTTCATGTGATTCTTAGAAAAGGTACTTTGACAGGAGAAAGGTAAATGTAATATATAAATTACATGGTATCATAAAGTCAGTTGAATTTTAAATGACCCCAAAATCTGTTTTTTCAAATGTGGCAAAATGAATGTAAAATGACGTGGTGTTCTTTCTCCCTTCATTGCGTTTAAATTCCCATGTACCGAATAAATATAAAAGTAAAATGGGTTTCCATCGCAATTTCAACTCTACTGATGATTTTCTCACAAAATGATTTGCTGTATATAGTCTGGTATTGGCAAGTGCGCTCTAGCCAACAGCGCTATCTGCGCCTTCTTGGCTAGAGCGCACGTATAGCCTATATGATGAGATTATTATTATGGACAAAAGAGCAAGATTATTTTTATTTGTCAAACGGCAGCCAAGCATCGATTATGACGTCACCAGAATAAGACCCTCGATATTTTGGAAAGGAGGATCAAGATGTAGCACCTTGCAATTTCACCACCCTGTGAAGTTCATCATAATTTATTTAATCTGTAGCCTATCTGTAGCATGCTTTCCCAACGAGTCGTAGTGGGAGGACCACACAACATGTCATCGGGTGACTCCAAGTTTACTTCGATATGATGGTTATTATATCAATATTTGCGTGCATAAAAGCATTCTATCTACATTTCTCGCATAATTCATTTTACCGACACAAAAATATGGAAAGTTTACACGAAAAATGTTCCGTTTCCATCCGGCCTGTCATTACATTTTTTATCCGACATGTACTTTACTTGCATAAAAAGGTTGGATGGTTACCTGGTTATTGCAATGTATTTTTTTTAAATCAGTTTCCACTTCTCCAGTTTTATCGCTCTCCTTTGGGACATTAGATTTGTACAATTATTTCTGATATTTTATTTGCTCTTGCTCCTGTCCCGGCGGTCTCTGTGTTTGTCCCTCTTTGTCTCTCTCCCTGTCTCATTCCCAGTCTCGTGCTCTGTCTCTGTAATATTTATTATTTTAGGCTCCCTCTCTCTAGCCTGGCTGACGCGAGGACTTCGAGTTACAGTGCATCAGGCAAGTATTCAGACCCCTTGACTTTTTCCACATTTTGTTAATTTACAGCCTTATTCTAAAATGGATTAAATCGTTTTTCCCCCCTCATCAATCTACACACAATACCGCATAATGACAAAGCAAAAACAGGTTTTTAGACATTTTTGAAACTATTAAAAACAAAAAACGGAAATATTACATTTACATAAGTATTCAGACCCTTTACTCAGTACTTTGTTGAAGCACCTTAGGCAGTGATTACAGCCTCTTTTAGTACCCTATCATAATAATAGAAGTCATACCAATCTTTAAAGGTTTTATTTACAACCTCTGGGGTATAAGGTGTTGGGCAAATTGGTATAGGACCGTCTGACATGAAATATAACCCCTAACCCTAACTTGAGTTCACTGTCGGTAGCCATTTCCAGTGTGAAATGCTCAGTCTGAAGCCATTCGGCTATAGGTTTCAGAGCCCTATCATAACAATACAATACAAGTCAAAGTCAAATCACATTTTGTTTGTCACATGCGCCTAATACAACAGGTATTACTGTGAAATGCTTACTTACAAGCCCTTAACCAACAATGCAGAGTTTTTAAAAAGTAAGTAAGAAAAATGTGCTAAATAAACTTAAGGAGAAATAGTAACACAATAAAAATAACAATAACAGGGCTATATACAAGGGGTACCGGTACCGAGTCAATGTGCAGGGGTAGGGGGTAGTCGAGGTAATTTAGGTAATATGTACATGTAGGTAGGGGTAAAGTGACTATGCATAGATAATAATCAGAGAGTAGCAGTAGCGTGTGTTAAAAGTGTGAAGGAATGTGAATGTACAGTGCCTTGCAAAATTATTAATCCCTGTCACGACTTCCTCCGAAGCTGCCTCCTTTCCTTGTTCGGGCAGGCTTCGACGTTCGTTGTCACCGGCCTTCTAGCCACTGCCGCTCCTCTTTTCATCATTCCATTTGTTTTGTATTGTTTTTCACACACACCTGGTTCATATCCCCTCATCAGTCTCTGTATAAGTATTCCCTCTGCTCCCCATGTCTTTGTGTGTTATTGTTTCCATGTGGAGGTGTCACTAACTCGGTTGAGCATTATGTACTTTTATCGCCGGGATATTCACCTGTGTGTTTTTATTTTCCCAGTACACATTGAAGGTGCACTGTATTTGGTTTATGCATTGCTGCTAACTGCTGTATTGGACGAATAAACCATATTTTGTGATTCACACCTCCTGCACCTGACACCCACTACAGAATAACACACCAAAAATAATGGAGTCAGCAGGAGCGGGGAATATGCCTGGAGTCTTTGAGCGGGTCCGGAAGCATTCCAATATAGTAGCCAGCTTGGGCGAAGCGATGGTTGGGTTCTCCAGGCCATCCAGCGCCTGGAGAGGAGAGGACCCGACCCTGCGGAACCAGCTGAGTGACCGGTTCCAGCACCCAGTGGTATTCACCTGTCTCGACCAAGGGAATACAATGGGACAGCGGCCCGCTGCCAAGGTTTCCTCCTGCTGCTGGACCTCTATTTCAACACCATCAGCCCTGCTCCATCGGATCGGGAGAAGGTGTCCGCCCTCGTCTCCTGCCTCTCGGGGAAAGCCCTGGAGTGTGCCAACGCGGTCTGGAGTGAAGGAGGAGATGCGTTGGACAACAACAGAGAGTTCGCTCGCCTCTTCCGGGCAGTCTTTGATCATCCCCCCGAAGGAAGAGAGGCAGGCGAGCGTCTGTTCCATCTGAGGCAGGGGACTAGGACCGTGCAAGACTTTGCCCTGGAGTTTAGAACTCTAGTGGCTGGGTCCGGGTGGAACGAGCAGTGCCTCATCGACCAATTCCGATGCAGCCTCCGTGAGGACGTCCGAAGGGAGCTAGACTGCCAGGATACCACTCTGACCTTTGACCAACTGGTGGACATGGCCATTCGGTTGGACAACCTGCTGGCTTCGAGAGGACGTCCTGGAAGGGGCCTGCCCATTTCACCCCCCCCCCTCACCCCGGCTCACGTTCCGATGGAGCTGGGTGATGCAGCGGTCCAGAAGAACGGAGGACGACAGATCCAGTGTCACTCTTGTGGCAGGATAGGATATTCTGCTGCACGATGTTCTTCTGGTTCTGGAGGCGGCAGGCAGGCAGGCAAGGCGCTCTTGCATCACTCAGGGAGCGCAAATCCACACTCTTTCAGAGCCCTCTGCTGCACAGTTAACCATCCACGTCCACTTCCCTGATTACATGGTAGGTCCCCAGTGTAAGGCGCTAGTAGATTTAGGCGCAGCTGGGAACTTTATGGACAGGTCTTTAGCTCTTAGTCTACGTATTACATTGGTTCCCC